ATGGACCTCCTTCACTTCCCAAGTTATAACCTAAGGTACCCATTTACAACCAGGTGAACTGGGGGCGCCAGAATCAAACCACCAACCCCGGAACAAAGGCAAATGAGTTATTGCATCATCCTAAAATCCTGCTGCTTTGTTTACATTGTGCGAACACTGCCTCAGTTAGCTAATGTTGCACTCCACTCTCAAATGTTGCCAGCCTACACCTCCAAACTTTTGTTAACTTTCAAAATTACACACATTCTCACATGTCTCTACACAATTACATAACATAATTAGCCTATGAAATTTAAGAATAGAGACTAATTTTGAAATAATCGTGAAATATTATATTGCAAATTATAGATGAACTGATTTAAGTCTAAACACAATATACACTATTGTAATTAGTTCAATTCCAGAGGCAAAAATAAATATAAACTGTTCCAAAACTGCTTTACTAAACACTAAATATCACATACATAAAAATACTGTATTTTGGGGATCAGAGGAAATTGCGTTCAGCTTGCAAATTTAAGATTTAAATTACAGTAGTCTATTTCACTGTTCTGTATATAATAACCAGAAAATATGACAGTGAAAATCAATTTATTCTTCTGACATGAAATACTTAATTAGTATTCTCGGTGATGGTTTCTATATAATCTAATGGTTACCTGCAAGATGGAAGTTTTGGTGGTGGGGCCAATCTTGAGTTGCATCATCATCCATGGTGATTCTTTATACTGTACTGCTGTTCTCTTACGTCTCTTATACAAAAATAGTTCAACATTAATCTTAAAATTTCTATTCAAGAAAATCATGTGGGTTAGACTATGAAGAACTAGAGTCTCCTCCCCACTAGACTGGCATTTCACACATTAACACAAATATAATGGAAAGTTCCTAATGATAAAACACACAGTAATAATCTATTCTACAGTTGCCACTTACTACATTACCAAAATTTGTTTTCTTTGGAAATTTCTTAATCTTTTGTTTTCATACATAAACTGCAAATCTAGTAGCACAACAGAAAAAATTATTATGAATTACTTATAAAGTGGTTTCCGGTAGTTTGATTTATCTCATTTGGTGAATTAATATACTATCTCTACTAACCCTTTCAGTACTGGATGTCACTTTTAATATTTTATCATTACCAGACAATTTTATTTAACACAGAGACCCCTAGTATCCAAGGGTTAAAACATTACAGTTCTATGTACAATAATCGCTAGTGGTCCATTATGAAGCTTTCATGCTTGGGCCAGTGTCACTTTGGAAACAGACAAGGGAGAAGTTACTGGTCTTCTTGCCATTTTTTATGCATTTTTTCAGTAAATTACCAGTTATGGCAATAGCTGACAGGCTGTTTTCAGCTACTTTGCGGTGCCTAACATTAACCAACCATTAAATTTTTGTACATAAATATCATCACAGTCTTTTTCATTGCATAATAAAATAAATACTATTATACTATATCATTAATTCTATTACATAAAAGGTTATTATTTGGTTTAGCACATCTTCAAATCATAAAAGCATTTGAATTTTAGCACCTCATATATACATTCCTCACTTGAAGCCTTTGAAACGTGTTTCTTTCAGAAAAATCACACAAGTGAATACTTAAATTAGATCAATAAATCTCCAGCCGCCATTTCTTGTCCCACATGAGCTGTCTGGAGCTGTGAGGTATGTACTGCATGCCTCCGCTCCTTCCGACTAGGGTTAGGTGAGGTTAAGTTAGGCGGAGTTACGTTAGGTTAATTTAGTGAAAGTTAGCGGTCTAGATGTTTGGTTTCTGAAATACTTTGATGTATTTTGTTCAGACCTCGCCTCTTGTTTTGATAGAAAATTGTGTTTTGATCAAGGATGACTTGCATCTATTTAAAAAACACGCATTTCATGGAAATGAGGGTCAGATCTGAACAAAATACATCAGAAATCAAACAACTCATGAAAAAATCGAGGTGTGCTAAAAATAATTACCACATAAAAAGATGGACTGGAAAATAGCCCCAAACAGCCTGTCTGGCTGGTTTGCTGTGACATTTAGCCTAAACATACAGTTTATGCTTTAAAACCAACACTGGTACAGTACTGTATGTCATTTAGGCTCATTTGGCATGTGTTTGTGGAATATTTATTAGCTGAAGATGGGTACTGTACTACAAATTCACCGTCCTAGTTATGGGATCATAAGCCAGTGTTTGTGGATTAATAGCCCTCACTCTCGTCAGTATTATCTACATATCTATGTATCGACCAAACCCTTGGCGGTCACTAATTACCCAAATGTAGCAAAAATGTAGCACTAATGAAGTCAAATAATGGTCCTACATGAATAAATCGGACTGCTAATCACTTCTCGACTAGTATTTGGTGTCACAAAGTCACAAAAATTGGAAAACTTTTAATCTGAGTTAATAGATCGCGTGCATGTGCAGGGAGGCGAGTAATTACAAATGTAGCACTTAATGAAGTCAAATGATTTAAGCATAAATCGGGCTGTGAATCACTTCTCGATTATTATTTGGTGTCATAAGTCACAAAAATTGGTAAACTAATTTAATCTGAGTTGTTAGGTTAGATTGCACTTTATCTATTAACTCAAATTCTTTACAATTTTGTGACTTAGCTGACTAAATACTAGTCGAATTAGGTAGGTTAGTACATGCAGCGATCTATTAACTCAGATTAAAGTAAGTTTTCCAATTTTTGTGACTTTGTGACAAATACCAGTCGAAAGTGATTAGCAGTCCGATTTATTCATAGGACCATTATTTGACTTCAGTTGTTGGATTGGTAATTAGTCGGACCCTTGAGGTGTTGTTATTTTTGACATCTGATATGAATATTTCAATTTGACAAAGCATTTCACTAAGGGAGTGACAGTCGTGGTTATTAGATCAATTTGAATGGTATGTACTGTTTACTACAGATCACGGTGTGTCTAGCAGTACTGTCTGTATTGCAATCTTTCACACAGGAGGGCTGTAGTTCTATGGAACAGCCTACCAGCTTCAAAGCTGCCCAAGACAAAACTATCAGAATACTGTAATCGACAGATAAGCCACTGGCAGTCCCATAGAAACAATAAAGTAGCAGTTTTCTTCTACCTGTATGTTACTATACCTTGTAGGAGAATGTTATTCTGTCTATGGATTCAGTTTAAATTAAAGCTTCTATATCACAGTACTGCATAAGTATTGTAGCCTTGTAAGACAACAGTCCACTTCACTTCACCCACCATTGAACTTGGTGGTTTAAACTTGTCAACAATGCGTTCGGTTGTGTTCACGAGATGAGCTTGGCCATATATGTTTATTTTGGGGGAAGGGGCAGAAAATATTGCTGTTACACTATTACGTATCTTACTTTAACTTATAAAAATTATATTTCAATTAATATATCCGTAAATTGTCATTTACATGGTTACATTGAAAGTTATATGTAGAGACAACCAATAGTTGGAACAAACACTGTCATGTCTGGGGTCCGGGTTTAACACAACACACCTTGGTAACACAGCTATTGAAACACTATTGAGCCAGACAAATACAGATACAGTACACATACAGAGTGGACAATAAGAACATGGCTGAGCCAAGTGTAGGCACTGAACCCTCTTAGTAACACCAGTTATATGTTGTATTGTACATTAATACTTGTAACATGATGTTGATATCAGAATATTACCGCGGTTTATTTATTTATTTATTTACACATAAAAGGGTCGCAAAGAGCACATGGTATCTTGCCAATTACAGAACTCGAACACTTGACATAACAATAGGAGATACGCGCGTTACCACTGTAGTGAGGTTGTGGGGTACGGTTGTTTGAGTTCACACTCGGATGGAATGGAGAAAGAAACTCACAATGTGCTCTGTATACATCTTGTATTGGATGTACAATGCAGCGGTGCTGGGAAGTGGCAGCGTGGTTACAAACGTGATGTGAGAGAGCTGGTTGGTGAGGATGCTCAGAGGACCACCTTGTGGGTCGCCATGCTCGCCGGCAGGAGCGAGGGCCGCCAGGCAGGAGGAGGAGGAGGTGTTGCTGGCTGGTTGGTGTGGAGTAGAAGTAGGTCACCACGAGGTCAGGTCTTATATAGCGGAGGTAGGCGTGGCTTAATAGTTGACCTCCGTGATGTAAGGCGGCGCTGGTTGACCTAGACCACGAGTCATACACTGGGGAATTCGCGGGTCGGCTACTCAGCGACAAACGGCGTTTGTAGGAAGGATCCACTACAAGGCCTTCGACTCCTGGGCCGGTGATATGGGGTCGGATCGTTCAGGTGTGTGAACGTCCTTATTATAAGACCCACTAGCAGTTGCTTAATTTACCTTTTTCTTACTATGGTCCAAGATATTCAGTTCGTTGTCAATATACTCACCAGGTCCTTTTCACATTTTTACGATTTCAGAGGTCAAAGGTCACCACATTGTAGTTGTAGTATATAAATGATCTGGAACTCTACAGAAATATGCTTTGTAACAGGCATCGGACATCATCGTAGATCTTTTCTTTTCTTTCTTTTTTATTTTGAGTTGGACTCTTTTACTGAGCTCAGAGTTCAATAAAAATGGAAAATTTGGGGCTCTTAAGACATTATTGCCCATCCGTCAACCATCTTACTCGTGAGTTCACCGAAAATGCTCAAATTTAGGTTTGTGTACTATTGGACCTAATCAAGACTTTTTTTTATCCTCTTCACCACTGGTCGGCTCGTTAGCCGCTTGGGCGATCGGTCACTACTTACTTTCCTGTGGGAGTGGATGAAAGAGATAACTGCATTCTCTTGCAATTTTGGCTTCCCTCGTTAACATTTAAGATGACTTTGACTAACACCTTTGTTTAGTTCATTATCTTGTAAATACTGTAATTATGAATGTGCAAATTAATTCTTTAAGTTTTTCTGGGCTTACGGTATATTTTGATACAAAAGCAAAAGTACAGTAAGCGCGATACTTTACATACAACTATTTGGGTTCCATTCAATTGAGAAATTAGATTACTATTTTTTATTGCCGATTACAGGTAAATGATACATTGGTTGTATATTAATGAACAAAGCATTCTTTGGTTCATGCTACAGAGTGATTGATTAATACAAACTATACTAAACAAAAGGTGGTCATTTAACAACCAATAAATGCAGGGTGGACCGTGAATCTGAAATAAGCACCACCTATCTTAGCGCAGTCATCTACTGTACCTGATGCAAAGGTACTAAAAATGCCATTTCTGTAAAAGTACTGTCACTGAGAGAAAAGGTTAATAGTCAAATTAAAAAGTAACCTCAAATTAAATTTACGTAATAAGAATATGAGTTAGCAATAAAATCACCATTTATTTACTTAGATTAGATTGCAAAATAATTTTAGATTAAAACTTTAAGTCATTGAAAGTACTTAGTCCACACAGCACCATAACTCACCCCAACACACCTATAACCACAGTTTACACAACTGTACATTCACTGACAAAGTCTCACAAAATATTTAAAATCATACCGTAGGAAAATAAGCTATACCTTGGACAAACGACGCCGAAACTAATGGGCAATTTTTCATCAACGTATGCATGAGTCAGGCGCCCAGTGGTCATCATAATTCTATCCTAACTCAAGCTGTACTAACGCTGGTATGATAACAGTTCTACATGAACTCCCAATACTACATGAACAACCAATACAATATTTCTAGACTGAATGGCTAGGACAAAATATCGGTCCTATAATGTCTCCTGAAGGTCACAGCTACACCCATGCAATTACGACTGTCGGTATAATCTATTTTATTTTCGGTCTGAAGGATATAAAACTTAACTTTATCATTATTAAACATAAAAACTTCCATGTGTTGGCTTTAATACCAAGAAAAAGTTAAGGTGGCGTCACACTGGCATTCTTTCGTCAACTTTTGTCTACTAGAGCTTGTCCTGTCGCCCTGCTGAGATATCCTGCTGGTTATCAGTCAGACTTTCTCTCACTGGTAAGGATATTAGGTGGGAGAAGCAGAAAGTGGTTCTCCTGAGAGATGAGAAGCAAAAGTAGTCGGTCAAATAAAATGGAGCCTTACAATAAGGTCCTGTAATTTAAAGACATCTCTAGACAACTCGGGCAGCAATCAGAGATACTTCTTCAAAGTGTGGCATTGGGGTTGATAATGAGAGCAGCCTGGGTGTTGGCAAGGACAGTCTCAGGTAGTGGTCCGTCGTGGTGCAACTCCGCCCAAGCTTCCCTTCCTTCACACTCTCCCCCACAACCTGGGAAAAAAAACAGTCCCTTTTTATAATGCAGCCCAAGACACTCCTACTGCAAAAATACACTTGTTGCAACTAAACCAAACCACTCCATTGATGATTATCCTCAAGACAAATATATATATATAATTTCCACTTATTATTATATATACTGTAAATCAGTATTGCGTTGATATTTTTATAAGGAAAAGGAGAAGGGTTGGTTACTTTATGCAGGACGATGCCGACAGCATAGTTGATTGGTTCACCCACACGGTTACGGCCAGCCCCAAGCGCCAGGCTCACCTTGGCCAGGGCCATGGCGTCCATGTCACCAACATTCCTGCAACACGTTCATTAATCAATTACATAACACCGTACAAACACAATAAAGGTGCGGCGGCCGAGAACCGAAAGCACTAGCCTCCTGTCCTAAGGTGGTCGGTTCAATCCTGGGAACCACCTCTGCTGTGTCCACTCTCTAACAGTCTTGGATATGGGATTTGCTTTCATTTACATACCCACACACACGCGAGGACTTCCTGATAATAAAACCTTCTCTCTATTACTAAACTGACTTATGATAATAGTCAGACTTAACTTAGTTGCTTAGAGCACCCTTGTTGGATCATAAACCTAAAAAAATAATAATTTGTTAAAGTAGCTGAAAATAAACTGAACTATAGCCCGATCAACTTAGTTTGAGTCACTCAGTCATGAAGCCTCAGGGTGCACAACCACAAAGCTTTAAGTGGTAAAGTGCTCCTTTCTTCAAAATGTGTTGTATGTTTAAGGTTTATGTTGAAAACTGGAGCACAGTAAATGAATATATATATATTTGCCAAACAGTAAGAGAAATGTGTAATTTTTTTGCAAATGTTAGTTTTAAAGGTGAAGTCATAACTAGAAACACCAACCAGCACTGGCAGAACAATAGACGCAGTTTAAAACATAATACCACCTTAAATTAATTAATTCAATAATTCTAAGGTGACAAGATGACATAGTGAAGCATACCTGAGGTGGAGGCCGGGACGAGGGTAGTGTGGGCGGCGCACGGCAGGTGGTGGTAGTCCCTTTTGTCTCCACACAATGATTTCGCCACCTCCTCACTCACTCCCTGCACCACACACAATGAAGATAAAGTAACATAACTGGGTGAATGAATGAATGAACTAATTCAACATGACATGCAATGGCCATTGAGCAAATAAACTATACTGAACAGGCATAACGAAAGATTGCATAAGTATAGGCTACGAAAGTAATATAAGTTTGACAAGCATCTTATTACAGTAATAATATTAATATATAACTTTTGCAACAACTGCTGATACGGGCGTGTTGAACAATGGGTCCACCACCACCGTGTGTGTCAGACCCGCACACAAATGCCACAATGTCTAGCGTAATGTCACATCAATTGCTTTACGAAAAACAACGTGCCTTCGTTGGAAGCAGTAACCACAAAAGACAATTTATATATGTACTTATGGTAATCCATAAATTAATTCAGGCCAGGAAGACGTTAAGTATGAACGTACGGTCAGGGTACGGCTAAGTGATAATATTCACTCAATAAAGGCAATAATGTACTGTACACAGTAGGTCACCCACGGAGATCTTACATATATAAATACAGTTATAATACAGTACCTGCTTTGGAGCATCTTACAAAAAGTTGCCCTGGCGGAGCCGTCAGCGAGACCCGGTTCATTGTGACGCGGCCATCCTCCACGGACGTCACTACTCCGGAGCTCACCAGCAGCTCCGCTCCCTGCCGGCAAGGCAAGCCACAGAATAAACAGAAAATCTTGTTGGAAAATATTTCAATTTCGACCAAGCTTTTCAAATTCCCGGGTATACCCTAAGCCAATACTAGTTCCTCCCTCTTTCTCTCACACACACACCAGCTCAAGCTCCAATGCAGACAAATACTTAATACTACATCAAATTTATAACCAGAGACTATACACGTAACACACAACCTTACGTACTTTCAATACATGCACTCAAAACTTGTACGCTCTCACGAGGCTACGTATTTCCACATACTGCATTGTATACCTTAACTACTTTCTCTCAATCAACAAACAATTACCTTCGGGTTCTAAACTTCTAATGACTCTTGTTACCGAATAAAACATCAAACTTCTACTTATTTACCTTCTGTCTGATATAATCTCTAACATTCATTACACCCATTTTTATTTCCTCCCAACTTTACAATCTGCTAAAAGGGTGAGTGATACAACATGCACTTACCTAAATGTGTTACTAACTCTTGGAGGCTTCGAGGCTGGCCTCGCATACAATCCAGACCTCCTGACCTCGAAGAGTTGCCTATTGTCTTGCCGAGGAGAATATCCATTTTGGAAATGATGGCACTGGCTTTCATGCCCAAACCCTTGGCCCGCCGTCACCAGCTCGTGTCCCAGCTTCTTTGCCTCTTCTTTCGTCGTCATAAAGGCACCTCGACCATATTTCACGTCGATTACCAACGATCACCGACTCCGCCGCCTTCTTGTACGATAGATGCTGTTCCACCACAAATATTTGTTAAATAATTTTCATTTAATATTGAGCAGCGCAAATCTTTCCAACTTACTAAACAGGACGATGGAATACGAGAACAGCCTATAGTACTTTATTATTACATCACAGATCGAAAAAATCTGAGGAATTTTAACGTCTGAAGTTTTCAAATCATGGGACAAAGTTCTCCCGATAAAGTTATCACGATAAAGATGACAACCAGAAGTTTGTAATCAATCACACTTACATATTAATCTTTAAACAAACTGAAGATAATGAATGGCAAATTAAATATTTATACAAATGAACTGAAAGTTGAAAATATAAGAGCGGACAAGAGCGTGTTGAGGGTAATGAAAAACTGTATGATCGTACACACAATGAGCGGGAAAGGCCGTGATCGTGGAGGTGACGTCCCTGACGGCGTACATGCGCGGTCGGCAGGCACAATGTTTGAGGTCTGACCAGTGATGCAGCACAGCCTCACTCCAGTGCCATGTATCTCCTCCTCACTTAGATTCACCCGAAACCTGATGGTAGAGAAGAGGCTCAAGGCTGATATGAGACCCCGAGAAACAAAACTGGATTCTAAAGGAACTTATATCCGTGGGAAAATATGAAAGGTTAGATAGAAGAGAAAGAGGAAGAGGGGTATTAAACTGGGGTTTACTAAAATATTCTTAAATCTTAATTGAAAGAAGCTAAGATGAAAAAAATTAATGATACGCTAAAGATACCGCCCTGTTCGACATTTTGAAGACTAGTTACAACTCAAATGATTTAGAGTAAGTCTTAAAGTTCTTTGACTGTTACCTTTACCGTATCAGTCGTAGATTCTCTCCGTCCTAACTATATTGGTCTTATCCAGATATAAATAATGCCTTCACACACATGGTGTGAGAACCGGTGCGATTCTATCGAAGACCAGTGTTGATTTTGAAAGATGTGCTCTCCTCTCTGAGCAGTGTTGGACTTTGTTCGTCGCTAAGGAGGCACAGAAGCGAGATGTCGCAACTTAAATCAGCACGTTAAGAAGTTGGACACAACCACTCTTTGGCCTTACGGTGCAGTTACTGAACAGTATATTGGTGTGTTTATTGTTCATTCACAAGGTGCCAGTACAGCTGACAGTGAACATCAAATATATCAGGCATTTGATCACCAGTGAGCAGTTGGTTATTTTACTACAATGAGATGTTCCACATTTTCAGTACAGTATCTTATCTTGCGTAAAAAAAACATCATCTTTAAGATTGGAAAGGATCTTTATAATATCATCGTTTTAAGTTCAATGTCAGAATTCTGATGATATGCAAAATAGACCAAACTAAACATATTAAAGATATATCACTTATTACTGTTTAGCCTGATAAAATTTCTTAATACATAGTTATGGAGGAATGTCCTGTTAAGATTCTCCTTGCATCTGTTTACAAAAGTAATTATTCAAATTATTCCATTCAAACTGAAGTCTTCAATTATCATGTTTTAGTTCCTGTGACGCTGTGTTAAATCTAAAACATTTACCTGTTATTATAATGCTACACCACAGTAGTCACCTGGGATGCTTTCGAGCTTATCAAGGGTGCCACCAGTGTTGCCAGACCCTCTGCCGCTTATCATGGGCACCTTGAGTCCCAAGCTGCCAGAGCTGGGGTTAACGCAATGACACCTTATCGCCCACCCATATTTTGTGTGTCCCCCAACACCGATCCTTAGGCGACAGCACGGAACCTTCCAAGGAAAACAAACATTAACGTCATTTTACTGTACCTGGCAGTGTATTAACATAGAATACATAAAGACCATAATTATCAAAAGCAGTAATACATTATACTATCAAAATACTAGAAAATAACACTACGTTACACCCTGATTCTCACGCCCAGACATATTGGGTGACAGGTTGTTTTTAGGAATGTGTGGTTGTGGAACTAATTTATACCACAGCTTTAGCACTACACTATTCTATCTCTCACACACACACACGTACGCTCATTCTACACACAAAAAAAACAGACTCCAGATAAAGTGCTTATATCTCACTGAGTCCCATGCCGATGGTGAGAGCGACCGTCTCCCTGTCTGTCATCCCTCGCACCTTAATCGCCATGAGTAAGGCTCCTGTTAAGAAATTAATATAATAAAGTATAACCTCGATTATCCGATTTATATGGGAAGGTGGAGTCGGATATGCCAGACAGTCGGATAATCGAAGGAAAAACCACATAGTTTTATACAATAAAATAGGAAACCAAATAGTAATTAAGTATAAATACAGTCGACTCTCCTACAACAAGGTATTGGATTCTTTAAAACCTTTTGGGCTTCAATACCAGCTGTTCAGTAACGCTTTACCAGAAACATAAAATAACTACAGTAAAGTATATAGATCAACTTAACATAATGCTTCCATTTAATTCTGTACCAATCAAATGCAACTTACCGACTCCAGCTTCTACAGTGCCACTATCCATCACATTATAAAGCTCTACTAAGTCCCATATCCTGCAACGTTTATTCTGATCCACATTTCGCATCTAGTTGCTAAGTAAACTTCTATGTACAGAGCTAAACAAACGATAACCTGGAAATACGAGTACTCTGTAACAAGCCCCAACATTGTATTCTCTACCACAGGGACAGTGGTCTGATAAACACTTTTAACATCTGTACTGTAATCCTGTTTACGCTCCCGCTCATAGGATAAGTATGGGGTGCACAATAAACTAGCTCCTGTCCACTGTAAAAAAAAGGCTGAGAACTGTCAATTTATAATAGTAGCGTGAAGAACATACACCAGTGTCTTAGCCAGACCGTAGGAATGTTTATAGTTATGCAGTGTATTGAACTAATGGCCAACTATAAGTCGAGCAACGAATAATTAGCCAAAGCCCCGAGTATAGAATTAGCCAATGAAAAGTTAGCTGTTAGTAAGCTAAGTTACGCCTCGAACTTAATGGGGAATCTAGTGGAGGAGAGAGGTAGTGTTGAGAGACTGGTGGAGGAGGATGAGCTGGAGTCATTTCAACCATTGATCGCGATTCAGGGAGTGAGGGTAGCTGACTAGCAGGAAATAGGGGGTGGCCGATAGGGAGACACAACTGGGGGAAATAGATAAAAAGCATGTTAGGTTTTCAGTTAGTATAATGTATAAAATATATTACTTAACATTAGTTATTACACACATCTACCTTCAGGCTTGGTTAACTGCGTAAAAGTGTATCAGTCTATAAAGACTAGGTTATGATCCTAGGTCGTAAAACATAACTCTGGTTTCAATCTTTCGACTGTACCTACAGGCTCTGAACATTGAGTTTGTTTTGAGAACATTCCTGTTGTAGTTTGAACTGTCTCTATACCCCTATGCACACAGCTGCGTTACGTCCATGTTCTCACAATGTCCAGTGAATGACCTTGTGTGTGTGTATGTGGATGAGTGTACAGTACTTCACAGTATATGTCAAACCGACCATTAAGTAATATATATTCAAGTGGTTCGTGTTAAGGAAATGTAGGCTATACTGACACAGATCCCATTTACTGTGTAACTTGGTGACCATTCTGAAGGTAATTTAACCTGGAATTTGAGGAAACATTCGTATTGGGTGGTGGGTTGGCTCTCTGAATTGCCAGTAGGCTTTCTGAAGAATAAAAAGGAAAATAACAAAGGAAACAAAACTGTGGGTCGTGATATGAGGAGGTATCAGAGACAAAGCAATGGTTTGTAGTAGTTCATGTCTGTGTCTTAACGAGGATATATACTGTACTGTATGTGTGTCAGTCTCCACGGTAAACAGCTGGAAGAGGAATACGATATAATAAAATGTCATACCCTCTATGTCTTATTTCTTATAAAAGGAATTAGGTTAAATTGACTCTCCCTTTTAATTTTAGTATTTGACGGACGAAAGTGATTGACATACAGATATTAATTTCAAATTCTTATCAAGACGGAACTAGAGTGAGATCATTGATATTTTTTATAATATTATTTATGTCATATTACCCATCAAATACTAAATATTAAACTTATTTTTTTAAAAAAATAAATCAACAAATATAGTCCACATTATCAAGGGCGTGTTATCCAGTATGACGTTACCACACTGCGTTTCATCCGGATACTGCGGTTTCTGTACTGTAACTGATAATAAACTTGACAACAGACCAACTGCCCGAACGGCTGACAAATAAGTGAACTGATAAATTGGATGATAAAATTTAATTTTGTTATAATT